AAGAGAGGAAGAAGGCAGTGCTTAGATACTGTAGTATGGGGCCCAGTCTAAAAACCCAGACAGAGAGATAGGAATGTTCCGAGAGACCCGAATCACTGGTCATGGTTGATCAAGCCCAGTTCCACGCCACATTTTCAAAGTAGGCTGACTAATTTTCTGAGTTTGGTATGCAAGCACACATTAAAGTACTGAAAACAGAGCCTTTCTTTGTTTAAACCAGGCTCTCGATGCTAAAAATGTGGCCCTCTCTTTTCCACCAGAGGTCGCCCTATCCTCATATATCTTGAGCAGAGCAAGGAAAAGTTTCCCCATGCTTTGAAAAAAACAAAGTATTAGAAAAAGACACTTGGCTTATTCCCTTTAATGCAAAAAGCAGACCAAGGGAATCGAGTTCTTGATGTAAGCAGGTGCTAATTCACCAGACATGGAGCAGTGTTACTTTTCTTCCAGTTCTTATGGGCTCGTTTGATCTGATTTACCTCCCCCTGTAAAAGGGAAACAGGAAATTCTGCTTCCCGTACAGCTAACTCTATACCCCGGTCTGTAGCACAATGAGGACCAAGTTGCTACCATTAAATATCCATTTAGCATAGCTTCCCTGACCAGCACTAAGCAGAGATTTTTATCCAAACTCCTGGTTTGCAAGTATGTCTAGCTGTGCAGGGGCTCACTGCTCAGAGCAGCTACCAGGTGGTTTTGAAAAGAAAAGAAAATCATTCTTCCTATCAGTTAATGAAGATGGGACTGCAGGGTGGAATATGACTTAGTATTGTAGCGCAGACAAAAGGATACGGAGTCAAGGAGTCCCAACTGTGTAACAGCAGGGAGCACTGGCCGTTCTAGTTGGTCTGGAAGCTAGAAACCCAGCAGGAACAAGCTGTTCTCTTTGCATATCCAACAGCCTCATTATAAAATTCTCTCCCTTCATCACATACAAGTCCTGCTTCTCCCCTACCATGAGAGATTACAGGCATTTTTCTCTGAAGCCTCTAGCAGGACACGGTAGTAGTGTCTCTTGTCACCTTTCCTGGGGTGTTAAGCATTTAGCTTCTGAATCAGTAGCTTGTGAGAGTGAGCTGGCTGGGTCAGTCAGGAACTCTGCTAATAGGCAAGCGACCAACAGCTCCCATCCAATGCTGGAGTCATCACCCCAGAAAAATTCATCTCTTTGCCAGTAGCAATACTAACAACATTAGCAGGAAAGGCAACCATATAAAAATGTACAGTGTTGCGATTCAATCTAATTTCCCTGGCTGTTAACTAGCTGCTTCAGGCACACAGAGGGCAAGGAGCAGGAGAAGGAAATACAATAAACTTTATCACCATTTATTTTACAAGTCCAATTCCATTTCCCACTTGGCATGTCATCTCCATCCCTTAAAGTCTGCTGTTCCTCTCTGCCTTTGCACAGGCAAATAACATGCTGTATGCAATGGTCATGTGAGGATTTCTGCCTTGAGCAAAACCATTGAACTGTATTAGAGAAAGGATGCCACTTAAAAGCTGGGCCAATAAGCCAATGAAATCCAATCACCACCAGTGACCCAGGGCATAAGCTCTGGGGACCACAGAAAAGACAGGTATAAGTTAGGCCTGCCTGACAGTGGCCAAACAAAATAGTCTCATTTCATACAGCTTTTACCAAAACTCTAGACAAATGTAGCATCTTTAAATAGTTATTCATCCTTATATGTGGAACATATTTGCATTTCATTGTTAGAATGGGCCATCTTTTTCTTTTTCACTCTCTGAGGGCTTCATATTTTATGGGAGGCAGCACTGCATCTCCAAGGTATAGGGCAGATCTTCAGCAAAGGATTTTACCTCCACTGGCTTCAGTAGAGTTAAGCCAATTTATGCTAGTGGAGGATTTGCCCCCACATGTTTTAATGTGCATCTACACTCATTCAAGAGGACACACTTCCCATGGGAAAACCAAGGTTATGATGCTGAAGAGCAATTTCTTATTGTGATGTCTCACCAGTTGTTTCTAAGTGTATATCCACACTGCAACTGAGAGGGGTGTAGCACAGGTAGGCACACCTGTAGCACAGTAGCACAGGTAGACACACCTGAGCTAAATTTTATCTAGTTCGCTTAGGAAATAATAGCAATGAAGACATGGCATGGGCTGGCATCCAAATCATGTGTCCAGGGCTCCAGCAGACTTGTCCAACCTATGCAAAAGCTATTGTTACCCATGCTAGCAAGATTAAGTCATTCCTATTCAACCTACAGGAGTATCTCTGTCTGGTGCAGACATATCCTCAGAGAGCAACACCTGTAGTAGTTCTCTAGTGAAAGGAGTTCAGTGTTGTTTTTTAAGAATGACTGTTATCCATCTATGTAGCTAATCTATATTGTACATCTGTATTGTACATCTGATCCATCCTCAAAATGTCTTAATATAGACAGACCATTTATTTTTCCAAACGCTTCATGTACTATGCTTACTTTGGAATAAAGCCCAGCTGTTTTTTTCATGAACAAGAACATGTACACATATTATGACCCCAATGCTCAAAGTCTTCGTGACTTTACAAAAGGGTGCTTCCACTGAGCAGGGAGAACAAAGGCACAGGCCCTATGTGTGCACTGCTTGAAGCTGGCGTTGATGGTGGCTCTGCAACACACAGGAGGGAAACGGCAACATTCAGAAATAAAATGAAAAACTAGATGATTCCAATAAATTCTCCTTTACAAAATTAAGAAGCATGTTGTCCAGAAACTACAAGGGAAAATTATATTAACAGCTATTGCAATTCATATGGAAAACAAATGCATTCATTAAGAAATGAAGCAAAAGGTTTGTAGCCTAATCTGAGTGCAGTGTTCAACACAGTCTTAACAGAGAGGTCACTACAGATGCCTCCATAATTTGGCAACTCTCCTACTAAAAGATCAGGGCTCAGAATTTCACACCTAGTTAATCACTATTAAACTATTTGGCACCAGGAAAATTTATGTTAATGCTGTTCCAATTAAGCAGTCATTATCATTCATTGACATTAAGCCAAATCACTTTCCTGGGAGTCATCCTAATATACCATGTCCCAACAAATTAACAGAATGTGAGTTAATGATGTTTTATGTTTATACAGCATCTCTCATTCAACGCACTTTCCATGTCACGGCTGGGGTTTTCAAGCATGCCTTAGGGAGGGAGGCACCCAACTCCTATCTGAAGCCAAAGGGAGTTGGGCACCTCTTTGAAAATCCCAGCCTATAAACACAGAGCACACCATGGAATTTCAGCAACTTCTAGGATGGGAAACAACAGCCAACTTGGAGAAAGTGTTGAACAGGATAGCGAGGGAAGGAAAGAAATACTGGAGGATGACAAGAAGATGAAACTCTACCACATGCCATGGCTCTTGAACAGCCAGCAAGATCCTCAGGCCTTAAGATAAGTTCCGAAAACACTTTTTTTTCTGAACAGTTAGCTTGACCACGGGTTATAGGCTCAATGCAGAAATTACTAGTGAAGTTCTGAGGGCCTGTGTTATATAGTTCTTAAAACACAATGATACAACCCTTGGGAAACAGCAGTGGACTGAGTTTCTTTGCTTTGAGAATACCTGAGAACAGTGTGAATCAGAGTCTCTGGGAACAGTAAAGATTTCAAATCTGATATAATGATTTGGACTGCTGCCACAGCACCCCACACATGACAGTCTTCCCTTGGCACTTAAGCCAGCAAAGTCTCCCTGTCAGCATGGCTGCCCTGCTGCCCCTGGGGGGTTCCTCTCTCTTTTTAATTTTCAAGCAGTTTCCTTCTGTATGGTTTCCTCTCTCATTTTAATTTTCAAGCAGTTTCCTTCTGTATGGAAAAGCCTTATGCCAACCAGCACCTCCGTCCCCCTCTGCCCTCCCTTCCTTTCCACCCCTGCTTGCCCATCACATGGATCTCCCATCCCAAGCCCTATACCAGGCCTAGGGGAGAGATTTGTTTCATGCTATGTAGCGCTTTCCATCCTCTAAACTGCAGGGAATTATACTAATTAGTAGTTAGAGCTAATTAATTTCACAGCAATTTAGTTGATAAGTATTAATATCCTCACTTTATTGAGGGGAAGGAAGCAGGCAGGAATGAGGAGAGGCTGGCTCACGACTGTGCTGCAAAGGAACATCAGATCTGGTGCCTTGGCTCCCTGTTCTTTACTCAAGGTACTATTCCTTGTGCTTAAGAGATGTAAGAGTTGAGAGCTTCTTGGGCTGAGATCATCCAAGGGGAAGAAAATGGGAGTAAGGTGCCTAAATAACTTGAAGGACCCACGCCTCAGAGTCTGCTAGCTCATTTGAAAAAGGCAGCTAATACGCAACTTTATATGTCATCCTAGCAAAGACTTGGGTTCTTGTGAGCTGCGGCTTTCAGGCTTGGACTCTCATTCAACCTCTGCAGTCCAAGGTGGCAAAGACCTGCCCAAAAGGACAAGTCTCTGCTCTTATCTCCCAACTGAGTATGTTTGACACTGGAGGGCTGGCATCCCTATTTTGTCCAGCTTGGAGACAAAGAGTCAACATGTCTCTGCTACCTGAGGAGGAGGTGGCCT